TCCAGATCTGACTACATAGGGGGTGGGGGGGCAACAGACAGAGACAATATACGCAAGGACATCAAACAAAACAAAATGCCACCACACAATACAATTATAAGCACCAGAGGAAGAACCTGTCTTACTTTTGGTTCGTTTGTTAGACTATAGAGGTTTTACTAGTCTAGTCGAAGGAAGCGAAAATCAAACTCCTAGCAACGAAACAATAAATGAGGTATTTGGCAACGAAACAATAAATGAGGTATTTGGCAACGGAAAACTCAGAAAAAATCTAGAGCTATCTTTCATTCTTTCTACAGTTACTAGAGCTTTTCATATTGTTCTTCTTTGATAATTACAATTATACTTACTAATTAATAGCTAAAAGAGTCGAGCAGTGCAGTTGTCTCTAACCAAATCAAATGTCAGTTTGGTTACAGGTTTAGAAAGAGAGGTTTCTCAACAGACAATTAGTAAGTCTAGTAAGCGTTATTCAGAAACCAGATTTTAATGCTAGGAGCGCTTAAACCAAACTGATACTGTGTGCCTGTGACAGAGTGTTTCCTAACACCACCTGAGGGAATCAAATAAGGGCAAAATGAAGAACACGGCAAAAACGAAGGTTTAGCATATATAGTAGACAGCATAAGGACATAAGAGCTTTGCACAACCCTTCGGCATTCCAAAGAAAGGGAAAAGGAAAGAAGAGAATCCTTCATGATTAACAGTTATAATTACCAAAAGCAACTCAAAAAAAAGCTGCCTTTTGAAGAGGAAAAAAAAAAATCTTGAGCATGCATCTCCTCTTCGTTTCCCCAAATGAGCATTTGTCTCCAAGCTCAATAAAGTTTTAGACAAGAAACACTTGCAAAATAAGCTCTTAAGTCTATCTTTAACCATTACGAACACCGCGCAACTATGACTAAAGCAATATCGGGCTAAGTTTCACTAATTTAGCCTTTAATTTAGCAAGAATAATAACAGATAAGAAATTACACCAGACGGAAGAGAGAGCAGCAGGGGAAGAGGAGAAAAGAGTTCTTTCTTACCACATGCCAATCGTCCACCAGCATTCCCAGTGGTAAGGCTGAGTTCATGGCCACCTAAAGACAGATCACCAAAAGGAGGTTAGCTCATAAAGGCACCATGCTGACCTCCCAAAATATAAGAGATAGTGTGTAGCAGTACACCAAATAAATTTGATATGCTCACAGGAATACCTTTTCAAATCCACAGATAAAAAGGACCAATACTTCAAATTATAATGCAGAACCTTACCCTTTCCAAGGTCATCCTCAAGCTCGTGAACCACAAGTGCTCTTCCAATAACTGAATTTGGACCAGTCAATGGTATCTGCTTGGTGTGCAAAAGGTAGAGTCACTAATTTATCCCAAAGCTATAACAATAACAAGTGTAGAGCACAAAATGTGCGAGCACTGAAATGACCAGACAAGGTTTGGATATAAAAACCTGATTATCTACAATTGTTGCTTCAGCCACACCTGCATACAGTAAGAAAAATTAAGAATACAGAAAATCATCATCGATCTTAACAAACAAAAATATAGTCAAAAGCGCTAAGAAGAAATGGAGAACATGTTTTTTTACCATCGGCATTGGCCACTATGTTTCCCAGGTCACCCGCATGACGGATTTCATCTTCAGGAGCTCCATGTGTCTTGCCATCAGGATTGAAATGGGGTCCTACAGTAAAACAGTGGGACGAAACTTCAAACTACTACCACAAAACTAGAAGTAAAGATATTTCCAATTAGTCACTACAAGAGTAGCAATTAACCAGCATCTCAATTAAGTCAAAATTGAAAACTAGATCAAAAGCTAACCTGTAGACATACACCCGTTTGTAGTGTCACCGAACTCGTGCTATAACATAAAACAAAGCAAACCAAAACATAACATTAACCATAATTCACTAAAAGTTACAAACAATAAACACCTATATAACAATGCCATAACATTCAAATGATAAAAATGTACTCACTAAATGGAATCCATGAAGTCCAGGTGTAAGTCCAGTTATGCGAACTTTCACAGTGGTTGGACCTATACGAAGAGGAGAACAAATAAATAAGTATTCAGATAAAAGGGTATGAAATATTCGTATAAAAGCTTACATCTTTAGGTCACAAACAATGAATATGGTAATACAAAAACAAATGAGGATAAATAACAATAACTACTATGCCTCAGTCCCAAACAAGTAAGGTTTGGCTATATCGATCTTCACTGACGATGTTACTCCCTTTAAACTAATCTCATGCCAATATTATGCTAATACAAACAGAAGTATTAGAAGTTCTCTATATTCAGATATAGAAAATTCGGTACAAAGTGTTTGTAGAAAAGCTTATATCTTTACGCCAGAATCCACAAATATAACAATATAAAAGCAAATTAGAGCATAAGGGTGGAAAAAATAAACAAACAAAGATTAAGATAAAGGGTAGCCCGGTGCACTAAGCTCCCGCTATGCGCGGGGTCCGGAAAAGGGCCGGACCACAAGGGTATATTGTATGCAGATTTTCACGGCTCGAACCCGTGACCTCCTGGTCACATGGCAACAATTTTACCAGCTACACCAAGGCTCCCCTTCAAAGATTAAGATAAAAGGGTATGAAATAAAGGCTCTCATCTTTAGGTCATATTCCAGAAATGTGCTAATAATAAAGCAAATAGAGCATAAAGGGTGGAAAAATGAACAGATAAAGATTCAGAAGAAAGGGTATGAAACATTCGTAATAAAGTTCCCATCTTTAGGTCACAATCCACAAATGTGACAACAGAAAAACAAATTAGAGCATAAAGGGAGGAAAAATAAACAGAAAAGTTTATGTCTTTAGGTCAAAATCCACAAATGAGACAACAATAAGGGTGGAAAAGTAAACAACCATCATCATCTTGGGAGAGAGTGACAACGCCCTCAACATTGGAATTTCCCTTAAGGACAGCAACAGCTTTCTTAGTAGCAGCAAAAACAGTGAGAAGTTTAGGAGCAGTGGCAGCAGAAAGTGTCAAAGATTGGGGAGTCTTTGACTTGAGATTGAGGGAAACACCGTGGAAAGAAGAGTGAAGTGAAGGAGAGGGGTTGGTGTTAGGGGCAGCGATTGAGAATAACAAAGAATTGGTAGTGCTGGTGGTGGTGGTGAATATTGTGTGGGCGGCCATGGATTCCACACAGGTGGCTAAGATGAGATGAGAAAGATGATAATGTTAGCGAGCGGAGTAGAGTAACAAGAAGACTATGAGATTATCTTTGGGTTTTCTGGGTTCTTGTTCTTATTGGCTTCTTTTTTGCTACGATTTTGTCCCTCTGCAAGATCTATTTGGTGTTGTTTGTTTTGTTCCACACTAGAAAGTTTAAAATATTATACGGAAAAGGGTGTTATTTTCATTATCAAATTGTTTTGCGGCTCTTTATAAATTTATTTTTAATTTTATGGCCATACTTTTTTTTATATATAAAAGATTATTTTTAAACGTACGAAATCTTAAAATGTCATTTTCTTAATTTTAAAATTATAAATGGGTATGGTGTAATTACTAGGTTATTTCTTGAATCACTTTTCTTTTCTTTTTAATTTACTTTTTATTTTTATTCTTTTTAATTTTTTTAACTTTTAAAATTCTTTTTTTCCAATATTATTTATTTACGTTATTTATTTTTTATTTTCTTATTTCTCATTTCCCAACCTTTACGTCACAAATTTTTACATAATTTCTCATACTTTATTTCTTTCTTAATTATTTTTCTTTATTTTTTTATTATACTTAATTATGTTATTATTCTATTTTTTCAAGAAAATTATACCTCATAATCTTAGAAAGAATAAGTCATCCACAAACTTGACTTATAATGAGTGATGTAATTAAAATTGAACCTTGTTATTGGATGAGGTTATACGCAAACATAACTATGTTAAAATGATATATTACTTTTTAATATTTAAATAATATTTTTATTCTCCAACTTTTATTTTTTGTGATTTCATGTAGTTGCTCATATTTTTTATTTTTTATTTTCTTGATTTAGCATAATTGTGTTATTATTCCAGTTTTGAAAATACTCCTCCTAATATTAGAAATTATTAATCATTAATATACGTAGCATATAATGAGTGATGCCATTAAAATAGAATCTCATTGTTGAATGAAGTTATAGACTTACGGTTTCCTATTCTTTTGAATTATATTTACTTAAATTATGCTGAAATTTATTTATATTATGTTGTAATTTTACATAAGAGTATTAGGTTAATCTTCTTTTAATTTTAAATATATGTTATATTTTTGCTTCCATTTTATTTCCTTTAGCAGTATTCACTTAATAATTCAGATTGCGTGCCATTCATTTTTTAGTTAGAATTAATAGATTATTTTTTAGTAGAATATTTAAGTAATGTTATGAAATTATATTTTATAAATATTAAATTATATTATCAAGCATGCAGTCTATAATGTTCTTACAAAATATGTACTTTTAGTTTTTATAATTATTAAAGTAAATAATATTAATTTAAAAAATAATTATTTTGACAATATTAGTTACAAATATATGATTAGTAATTAATATATTTTCATGAAACAATATCTATCTTAAATGTCAAATTTAATATTATTTATAAAGGAATATATTTGTTAAATCTTAACTTTTAGGTTTTGATAATTAACTTTATATTTAAAATTTAATCTAACTATGTAATTACACTTGTGACACCAAATAGTACACTTGTAATTACACTGTAATTATATTATGACAAACAAACAGATTGTCGTAATTATAATACTGTATAATTACTAGGATGTGTAATTACTACCCTAGTAATTACACCAATTTCAATTACCTGGTAGCTTTCCAAACAGACCCTCTCAGTATTAATTATACTATTACGATTGTAAAGTTGCAAAAATTACGGGTCAAATGGTTTTATGGATCATTACAAACTTGATTTTAGTTTTATGACCCTATCTCCTCTTTTTCACACATGAAAAATTTACTTTTGTACATAAAAAATCTATCTTTTACATATAACATATCCTAAAAAGCCACTTTCTTGATTTTAACATTGTAAATGATATTTCCTCTAAAATTACTTTGTTGCAAGATATGTGTCACTAATCACGTTAGCGCATGTAAAATTTTTGAGTGAAAAGGTTCAAAATACTCCATTATCTTTGGCTTTGGACTTGAAATCATCCATGTTCTTTCACAGGCCTTTTGTATCTATATCCGATTTTTGGGATCACAATTGAACTTATATTTACTTTGTAAAAAAAAAAAATTACAACCCTACCCATTTTACGATTAACTTCAGACTTATCGGGTCTGAAGTTAAAAAAATAGTCTAAAGTGAAAAAATTACACTTAAGACCAAATAGGTCCAAAGTGCAACCAATAGTTTCATGCACTTAAGGCCAATAAGTTTGAAGTGAAAAATTGCACTTCAGGTGTACTTAAGGCCAAAAAGTTTGAAATACAACAAATGTTTTCCTACACTTAAGGCCAATAAGTCTGAAGTGAAAAATTGCACTTCAGATGCATTTAAGGCCAAAAGGTCTGAAGTGCAACCAACGTTTTCATGCACTTAAGGCCAAAAAGGCTTGAAGTGCAAATTGCCCCAAAATAAAAAATTTGTTCTTCAAATTTTAACAATCCAATATAGGATTTAATACCTAAATCTACTCCAAACGGGCTCAAATTTGAAACATAACCTCCAAATATCATCAAGAACAAACCCCAACCATCAATTTTTCAAAATAGCAATAAATCTAACGAACCCATCTTACAATTAAGAAAAAGAAAAAGAAGAAACCCTAAGCAGTAGTAAAAAAAAATAAAGCACCACAACAACTCATCACTGTAAAACATCATAAACCATCTTAAAATATGTTTAGAAATATTATATAAAATCACTGTTACAAGAAGAAGAAGAAGAAGAAGAAGAAGAAGAAGAAGAAGAAGAAGAAGAAGAAGAAGAAAGGAGAAAAGGCATGGAGTTATTTAATCAGTGGGTACAAGCTAAAAATAATAATTTAAAAGTAGGTACATATTGAATGGGGGCGATCAAATAGGGCACCCGTGCAATTGTTATTTCTTTCACCTGGAGCATTAATAGTCCATTATGTTTGTTAACGTAATGCATTTTTAGTCACTCTCCAACCCTTATACTAAAACCTAATACCAAAAAGATAATGACAACTAACCTTATCAAGATAGGGATGAATTCATCTTTATTTTATCAATTAGGATTGATCAAAGAAAAATAAATTCTGTTATTTTAAGGGGCAAATATAACCTAGTCCACTCATAATAAAGGCATATTTCGAAAAAAGATATTCGCCTTTAGATATTCGTAAGATTTGTGATCAAATGCAAACAGAGGGCGAACATATTCTTTTTTTAATACTTGAGAGGCAAACCTAAATCAATCCACTAATGATATGAGTATGTTTGAGAACAAATTCAAGCAAATTTACTCTGTTTCCTATAGTTGAGGGATATTTTTAGCCCTTTTCATTTTTAACAATCAAGAGAAGATCGTGACGTTTGATTAAACTCAATGTTTTGTTTGAAATGTTTAATGCTTAATTTTTCTCTTTTATCTTGTTTAATTCAGGGAGTTCGAACATTTTACATATCTTTTTTGTTTGCTTAAGTCATTTACTTTTTTTCTTACTTGGAATTGGCGGAGGCCAGTAGTTCACAATTCTTCTTGTAATTTTTTTTTATTTTTGTTTACCTTTAAAATGAGTAACAATTGAATTTCTACGCGGTTTAAAGAATACGTGATTTAGTTTAACGCGAATGATCTATGAACAGAAAATAATTAAATTAAAGAGGAACAAATAATCAAACCAAACGTGATGGATAATTAAGCCTGGATTTAGGATGAACACTGAAAATTGACCTCGGTCGAGCCCTCGAGATGGGCTCGGTTGAACCTAAACAAATAAACAGCTGAAGAACACTATGAATAGTAGCTAGAGAACAAATATAATCTTTTATTGCTTTGATAAATGTGTCAACAATAGTCTTAAAATGAAAAAGTTTTCCCCTTTATATAGTAAGGGAGTTTCATTCCTAGTACAAGTCTAAATAAGGCAAAAAATCTTCTCTTTCCAATAAACGTTGATTTGCAATTGATATCGAGCGAGATTTGCGCCATAACATCAGATTAAGGGCGGATATTACGGCTCTCTGCTTATCGTGTCTAACTGTCTTTTTCTTAGTCTCGGCCCTTCACTCTGCCCGGACCTGATACTCAGCTGAATCCGGTCCCGAGTGCATCATTTGTCCTCCCCAGGCTCTGAGACATGGAACCCCTCGGCTTTACTCGAGGTCATGTCAGATCGTGCTTCCCTCTCGTTTTTTACTGGAAAATCAAGGATAGCTTTATCCTTGATTTTACCCATACACAGATAGTCCCCTTACTTTTTAGACAGTAGATTTATCAAAATGACGAGAAGTGATTAATTGATCCTAGTTCCTTCCTCCGTACGCAACAAACGGGCTGATGAGACAGTGAAACGTCCCTTCAATCACGTCATTCTGACATTGGACATGTGTCAGCTGTCGATTGGCCCTCCCCGAATGCGAAACATCATGCATTAAATATTCCCTTCCTATAAAAACTTCGATTTCCTTTTTTTCACTTTGTTACTTTCCGATTTCGAATCTTCTTGAATTACCCTCGAAATTTTTACTTGTTCATCATTCCTTCAAACCTCCATATATTGTTCTTCACGCCTTCATTTCTTCGTCTTCAAAACTTTATATTTCGTCTTTAAACCTTCAAGCCAAACCTTCAAATCTTCATACCCACCTTCAAACTTTCATACTCGTCTTCAAACCTTTATATTCCAGATAGCGATGGCAAAAACTTCAAAATTTGTGTCCCAATATACCGCCCCTTCAACTTTTAACTCTACCACAGATGTCGAAATGATCCTCTCGGAAGCAGCCCTGGAATCTCCTCTTAAGAATTTTATCCTCGGAGGCTGCTCTATAGACAACGACTTTAAGGTCGAAAAAGCCTCCAAATAAGGAGTTCGAGGTGAGGAGGTACATATGCTGCATCACCGAGGACACACTCCGGGCGGTTCGGGAGGATTACAAGTGAGAGGAAAGGAAGTGGTCGTCCCTGACCCTAATGAGGACATCACCACGCATGTGGAGGGGTACTTAAGTGTGTATACGTACCCCTTCACGCTTGGCCCGATGGATACAATAGTCCTTGATTTTTGCAAAAGGTACGAGGTTTGTCTCGAGTAGATTCACCCATCTTTTTGGAGGATCGTGATCCTCCTCTGTCATTTTGTTAATAACACGGAGGAG